CGGCTTCGGGGCGGGCGCCGTCCCCTCCCTCCCCCTCGGAGGCGCGCCGCCCCGGGGTTCCGGGTTCCCGGGGCACCGAGCTGGATCCTGCTTTTCACCCAGGCAGGAAGTGAGTTTCACACGGCAATTCCGGGTGGTGTCACGAGTGAAAAGTTTTTCCCTTCGGCGGAGGACCCAGTCGGGGCCGGGAAACTCCTGACACAAGTGGCGAGCAGGAAGCCAGCGCGCACCCCAGCCCCCACCGGAGCAGCCGCACTGCTGCGGGAGGCAGCTCCACATCCGCCTCGCCGTCACGGGAGCCTCGGCAGGGCCCGGAGCCGCGGAGGAAGGGCAGGAAATCATGTCAAGCCGAGCCTCGAGACGGCTGCCCTGAGACACCCCGAGAGGTAAAAAAAAAAAAAAAAAAAATTTCTTATGAAAAGCGTCGAGCAGCCGCCAAGTTCGTGGGCCGGAAACGATACTTTTTAGTCGGCTTCGCTTTGCCCGAGTTGCCTCGCTTCTTGCTCTCGTGTCGGAGTGGTTTGGTATTTTAGCCGCTGAGTAGTAGGAACTGATGTATGTTTGGGTTTTTGTTTTGTCCGGTCTGCCGTCTGGATTCCTTTCTTTCTGAGATGGGCTTGTAAGAATGCTGTGGGACGGAAAGTTTGCAGCCATCGGAAGAAAGAGTGCCTTTGTTTGGCCAAAGGTACATAAGTTTTTAGGGTTCCGGGACGTATACAATGTATAGTAAATCGCTGAGCCCTGCAACTTTGGTTTCGGAAGAAACTTAAGTCTCTGCCGGGAGAGACGGATTCGCTCTTACCGAGATGGCTGCCACATTTGTTTATGTTGGTGCCGATTGTTTTGGCCCTGGCGTTAATCCTACGTGGAGCTCGTTTTGTTAGGGCTCTTGGGGTTCTTTGGACTTTAGAACCCATCTGTCTGCCGTTCTTGGTTGGCTCCTCCGGACAGCTGAGGCTAAGTCGTAAGTAATGTGCTCTTTTTAGTCAGTAGCCTACAGTGCTTGTTTGGTTACTTGATTGGAGACATGGAGCTGCTAGATTTTTTTCTTGAAACTGGTGTTCTAGGAAGCAGAACGAGGTCGTGAAGATTACGGGTAAAGACAGGAGGATCTGGCTACAAAAACAAAGCAAAACCCTAAACACCTGCAAGTAGTTGATTGGTCAGGACTTGTGTGCAGTTCCGAGTAGGGACGTAGGAAGGGAAGAGAAAGAAAACGCTTCAGATCCTCGGGGAGGCACATTGTGGGAAAGAGCGGCGCTGTCTGCTGTTGTGTGACTCTCAGATTTTCGCGCTGGCCCATCTGTTTTTGTTTGCTTCTGCCTAATAAGTGAATAGGTACGGACTGTGCGAGCAGGAACTCGTGAAGCATGGCCGACATTCCACCAGTCAGACTTAGGAACGCCTCTGAACCAATGGGGGTCGTCTTCATGGGGGAAACTAGTTTTGACTGCAGTAAATCTGCTGTCTTTCCCCGTTGTCGTGTTTCAGCTGCGTGCCTTTTTAAGTTTAGTCCCCCCTCCCAGGGCTTTTGTGCTAAAGGGAGGTGACAGAAAATACTGTGTTTAAAAAGTAAATATTAATTATAGGTGGGTGTAGCTTAATCAGATGCTACCAAAATAATTAATAGAAACCCAAGGAAAAAGAGTTGACTTTTTTTTAGTTGAGAGAGGAAAGGTAGGTTTTAAAGATCAGGATCAAATTAGTTCACAGCTTGTTCTTGGCTGTATCGCTTTTATGAAGTATATTTCAAAAAGAGAATCATTTCAGTATTTATATTGTTTTGTTATTAGGGCCTGGTCTCTGGAGTTTTTGTTTTCATTTTTATTTTATTGGTAAAATTTGTGAACCATCAAGTTATTCCTATTAAAAGTCCGACTGCTTTATGAAGGAATTTAAAGTGCATAACTGGCGGACTTTATGATTTGGGGACATATAATTAGGCAGCAGAAGAGGTTATTCTTGAGCATATGAAAGAGGGGAACAAAATAATGACATTGAACTTCGGTTTCCTTTTATGGCTTCTGGTTGGCTTCAGAGCAATAGCGCCTTAATAGAGCAAGTCTAGAGAAACCCTTTGCAGAGATGACAGGCACTGCCTTACTTCTGGATGCAGATGACAACACTTGGCTTTGCTGCTTAGCGCCCCCACCCACTCAGAAGGACTTTGTTTTTCTTTTTTAGAGAGAGTAATATGTTTAGGTTTTGACATTTTCAAAATGAGGTGTTCCATCTTTGTTCACCTTTGGTTCCCTCTTTTTCCTCAACAAGACATTATTTTGCATTTTACTGAAAGGTAAATTTAGCATCAAATTAGCTAATGAATTTTAGGTTTTATACTCTTCTCAAACCAAATATTTTTGAAGTCTTGTTTAAAATGCAACAAAGGTTTGAAGAGAGATTTCTTTTGTAAAAGACTCAAATTTTATGTGTTTTCAGTATTGTGTGAGGGAGGTTCCCCTGCTGGACTAAATTGTGAAACAAAGTACTTCCCAGTGTGTTTGCCTGTCTTGCATAGAGAGACTTGTTAATGAAGGTAATCTTGGGCTTGCAAAGCTCCTCCTGATTTGGTATTATTACGTTTCCTTGGCATTTAAGAACAAGCTATTTTGAGCATCATGTATAAAATGCTTAGCGAGGTTCAAGAATGGAAACAGTTTTTATTGTGTACTGTTTCTTAGCCAAGTGACTACTCTAGAGGCATTTTACATTTATTATTGGTAATAAATCAGTGAGATTTGGTTGTGTTAGACCTTTTTATGTTTTTTATTTTTGACTTTTATTTTTTGAATTTTAAAAATACTTCATAGTGAACACTATCTGCCAAGGAGCATACTTTAAATTTTCAAAAAATTATGTATTTATTTGAGCATTATTTGAAATAATTGCTTAATGATAATATGATTTTAGAGTTTAAACTTTTTGTTGTAGAAATAGATAATCACAATATTTACAAAGCATTTAGGCTTAAACAGAATTTGAATGATGTTGGAGATCAAATACATTTCTTTATAATTGCTGTTTCTTCAGTCTCTTTAAATATACCTACTTTGTTTCCTGCATTTTAATCTTGACTCTGTCTTATTCATCCATTTATGATATTTTGATTGTTGTTGAAACAACTGCAGCACAGGATGGCTTTCCTTTTCTTTCTTGATGGTAGTGTTATTCTTCCGTAACTGTTCATGATAGATTAGTTCTTGAATGCACACTGTTTGTTTTTTGTTGTAGAACATGTATATATGAACTGTATTCTATAATATCTACTTCTGAATTAGCAAGGGAAATTGTTTCCCCCTTCACTTTATAGTTTCTCTTCCCTGTGTACCTTTTATTATTTACTCAGAATAAGTAACTCCCATTTCTCAGTTTACATTTTATCTTCTCTCTCAGTGTTTGGTTTCCTAATTTTATTCAACTTTCTCTTCTAAGTTTTTTAGTTTTTAAATTTTTCTTTAATTAATGTTACTTGTTTATCCTATTTTTTATATTTACTAATTATTTAGTTATTTTTTTGCCTTGCCTTTCTTTCCCAAAAGTACTTAGTCCATGCATATCATAGCTCCTCAAAGTGTTTGAAACACTTTGAAACAGAAAAATTGATTTGATCAATTTATTTAATTTGATATTTGCATTCCAACTCAGTGTACACGGAAGTGTTTCAGTGTTTGTTAGCACACTGCTTTGTTTTTATGCAGTTCTGAAAGTTCTCTTTTTCTACCCGAGTGCCTCTGCAGGTAGTTTTTTCAGGTTGTCTATATTCTTGTGTCTTCATCCATAATTGCATTGGTATTCTGTCAGACATTATTTTTGTCACTTCCAATTTTATTACATTGAATGAAGGCCTTGACATGCTTTATTAATGATAATATGTAAGAGAATAGAAAATAACATTTGAAAATAAACATAAAATAAAGCTCTACTGATATGAAATGTATCTATGAATTTAAGTTTATATAGTATGTCTTAAGAAACCCTAGACAACAACAAAATGGCATGTGTATAATAAAAGTAGGTATAATAAAGCCTGTGAAGCTTATTTATAGGGACACCCTTATTTAAATTTTTGTGCATAGTAAGCTATTTCTTTTTGTTGTGCTAGAAGAATTGAGAAAGGCACATTGACAGCACCATGAAATTATGACTAATGAGTATTACAGTGAGAGAATGGGAAAATGGAAAGAAGATTAAATAACTTGGAAAGTAAAGATGTTCCTGAACTTGTGATGGGTTTGCATGCTGATAGCTGAAACTAATCAAGAATGCATTCAGTACACCACACCTACCGAGTATGATGGCTTAGCCTAGACTACCTTACCCATGCTCAGAACACTTACTAAATACTTCAGTTGGGCACAATCATCTAACACAAAGCTTAGCTTAAAACAGTGTTTAGTATCTCATGTAATTTATTGAGTGCCCGTATCAAAAAACTCTGGCAACCCAGGTCACTGTAGGGTACCTTTATGTATGTATGTATGTATGTATGTATTTATTTATTCTTGTGGCTCCTAAGAAATAGCTTTCATGGTTGAAGAAGTGATCATTTCACGTAGTTTCTGTTGAGTGTATATCATTTTTATGTGTTGTAAAGTGAAACAGCCATAAATTGAATCTTGTTATTTCAGAGACCAATTGTAGTCTGAACCACTTATTTTGGGACAGAATGCCTTCTTTACATTTCTTTTGCAGGTTAGAGAAGTCATTTGTTGTAAAGTGGTTTGATTATGAGAAATCGTATTAGTCCTAAGGTTGTATGGTGTTTTGAATTTAGAATCACCAATACTTCTATACGTTGAGAACCCCCTAAGAGTTTGGGTTTGTGCCAGCTATTGGTTACTATTCTGTTAGAATTTAAAACAAAAATTAAAAATAACAGCAAGCCATTGCATACTAACATTGTTTGAGCAAAAAATGTAATGATTTTCCAGAACAAATACAGTTGTGACATGGTGTCCATGGTGAATTGTTCCACTTTCTCCATGACTAGTTTGGTCCCTTCTTTATAACGGCTTAGTAGTTGTTGTGGCCTAAGCACATCTGCTGAGACACCTTAGAGCAGCTTCAGATGACTTGTGTACTAAATCCAGGGTAATACTAGGTGAACACTGTGAAGTACTGCTTAGGTAATGATGACAAGAAAGGAAAATCTGTACATATTCAGTATGGGTGCAATTTTCCCCAAGAATTTGCAACATGGTTGAATCTAGGGATTTGGAGGACAGGTGGTAATAAAAAGAGGGATGTTTTTGCATTTTTGCAAGTTACTTATGTTAGGCTTAATGGAAAGGAGTTCAAATCTCATACATCACTTTCTTCCATCTGTTGTGGTATGTTGTTTTGATTGAAATATATGAAGAAAATTCACTCCTTATAGTTACATTTCTAGAAAAGGGAGGGCTGTTTTCAAACATTCTTTAGATACTTATGGGGACTCTTTAAGTTATGGGAGAATCTTGAGGCTTACTCTTTCAGCTCACTCATTGGTTTTCAGTTCTTAATAATTTGTTTTTGCAATACAGTTTCTAAGAACTCCTCCCACCCCCAGAAATTGGTTTTTATTTTTCAGCTGTATTTTGGTTTACATGTAATTTAGAATCTCTGAGATATTGCCTAATTGCTTCTGTATCTTATTTGAAGTTTGATCTTATTGTGCCTGGTAGATCTGTTAATGCTTTTGAGTTTTCTTCAAATACTGTATTTTACTTTTTGGTAGTGGGTAAAGTTTTTATTAATGGTCTACTATGTACCTTATTGGTCATTTAAGCATATTTTTCCCAACCCAAGTGAATATTTATTCTTGCTTTGGTAATTGCTTAGAAGAGGAGTGTTGTACTGATGTGTTTCAGCTTTAGGATATGTGCGTGGATCTCTTGGCTTGTTGGTACAGGTGTTTTCTGCCATTCAGGAGATGCCTTCCTATTTTCAGAATCCTCCTGGCTTGTCAGTTTTCCCACAGTACAG